GGGGGGGGGGGGGCTCTTATCCCACCTGTTAATGTGGTTCAACCTCTGAAACTTTGAACGGGCGCCCTCCACACACATACACACACACACACACACACAGGGATGCCGGCGCTCGCTGAGAATCAGCCTCCTGGTATAATACTGCTTCAGGGAAACCTTCAGAACACGCACCCTCTCCACCGTGTAGGCTCGGTGACCATCGCATTCTCAACCGCACTTCTTTTTTCTTTTTTTTTTTATTCATTGAGACAGTGGGAGAAAGAGAACGGACCTGTATGTATGAATGCACTGCTTCTTCTCTGTTCTAGCCATTTGTAAATAGACTTTCAACAGGAAGGGATTTATTTAGTTGTGTTGTTCCTGCTTTTCTCTCTCTCATAGCACGAGCTATTCTTTGATTCTATGGTTCCTCTCTCCTTTCCGTTTGACACTTCTTCTGCTCTGTCTCAGTGACTCACAGAGGCTATGTGAATCTGTATCATATGAAAATATGTGTAAATGCTGCTGATTTCAGTCAAAGACAAATCTAAGCGACGGTACCCTGTAAAGAACACCTGTCCTCTTGGTTCTACCAGTCCGACTCCCTGAGCGTCTCTGTTTCAGCGTCCTATAAAGCTCTTGTGGCAAAGTTGATTCAGTCGAGACTAAACCTCGATGTAACGGCTACATTTTAAAGGTGCATTGTTGCATTTAATCCATCTGTCGGTCTGGACAGAGCCAGAAACACTTTCAGTGACAAAAACAGATCATCTGGCATCATATTGTGTTTCAGTTTTATCCTTAAGTAGAGATTGCTTCAAAGAAAATGGGTGAATAAATAACATGTTCTACGAAAACAACAGCGGACAGGAGTTCTTGAATGCTACTTGATGTTTGGCTTTGCACAGAGCGGTTCAACGAGAGGAAATGGAGGGTATGTTTCTAACCCAACACACAGGGTGTCTCTCGTTCATGTGCCAGAATGTATAAAGAAATGACAGGCCGTGTGCTCTGAAGTACTTTTGTGCTGCTTTTACCTGATCCCTTTTCTTGTTGTTTTTGCAAGTAATTGTTTATTTTTTTAAACATTTTTTCCTTGTGTTCTCTTACTGCATAATTAGTATATTTCATCCTGGCCCAAGGTAACTGCAGGGAAATCAGAGGCACCCTTGCTTCCAGGAAAAAACAACAAAAGGGTTTACATGATAAAAGAGGATGACTGGAGAACACAGGAATGATTTTAAGACTTCAGAAAGTACCGGTGTACTTGGAATGTTTCAGTTGTGTGGGAGTAGGTGAGAGGATTTTTGTCAGTATTTGAAATAAACTTTTACATTAATACGATTTCCTTGTTGTTTTTGTTGATGTTGTGTGTTAGTTGGGGGCCTACTACATGCTGAAAGGAGAACTACCTCCCTCTGTCCACCAGGGGGAAGCACAATCGTTTATTTGTCAGCGATGGAGTTCTGTCTTTTTCCATCATTCCTGACGTTACATGGAATATTTTAGTAGAACCAAAGGTTAAAATGTCTCACAGACTGTGATGACAGGAAGTCTGTCGGCCTTCAACTTAAGGAAATGTATCAATAAACCCTCATGTGATATATAAAGGTTATGACTATATCTAAATTACACGTCAGTGCAGCCTACAGCCTTTATTTTTCTTTATCAGTCTAATATCAGTGTCAGAGTTTGGAATGTCATTTATGAAATGTAAACAGATCAAAGGACTTAAGCCACCGGAACTGCTGGATAACACAACTTCACTTAGATAAAGTCTTTCTAAAATGCAATGTCACAGTCTAAAAAAAAAAATGTTTTTATAGCTTCTAATATTGTAATTATCTTTAAATATATTATTATTAGGCCTTATTTATATATAATATATATTGTATAGAATATATTATACAGGCCTTATTTGGGCATCGTTTCCGGTAATGACTCCTTGGTCTGCATATTTTCAATTTTGATGTCATGGAAAAAATTGGACAAAATTACAAAAATACTTCTTTATTTTCTTCATATTTTATTTTAAAACAAACGAAAAGACAAAACCGTTTGGAAAGCCGTTGGGTGTTTTTGGGTGACGTAAAGCGGTGACGCAGCCGCGTACTGGCGCACCCACTCACTACTGATACTACTTGAGGCGACTCCACGGAGGCTCACTTCCGCCATGGAGACTCACTGAACGCAATAGATTTAAAAGGCTGGCTCATTTTTTATTTTGGACACAGGCTAGCAGCGTTTCACTATCGCACCTAATTTCTTTTTTTAACGTAAATACAAGCGTAACTTCCAAGATAATCCCCAATGAATATAATTCCGACTACGAAACGAGCCGCGTTTAACGTGACTGGAGTCATGAGCTGTTTTATTCAACCTCAAAATGGAGTCGCGGAGGGAGCCATGCGCTACGGCTCAGGAGAGTCAACCCCGCAGATAGCCATGGGCTCGGGGAAAGACTCTCACAGTAACGGTAACGTGGTGGGGTCCTCCAACGACACGCCGAAACGGCCCAAGATGCTCCTGGGTATGGACTACGCGACGGCGAAAGCGCTCCGGGAAGACAGCCAGGGCATCGACGACGACTCGCTGCCGTGTACCCCGGATGCAGACGGAGACGAACACGACGTCTCTGGTTATTCTGCGGTTCTGGAGAACGACACGAGGCAACTCATTAGCCGCTTCCTGGAAGAATTTACTGGACTTTCGAAATCTCAGTGGAATGAAGGCAGAGAACTAAAAACAATGAAAAGAGTCGTAGAGGACGTTTTGGAGAAACACAGATATGCATTCAACGGTAAGGGAGTAGTGACAAGAAGTGTGTGTGGACGTTAAGTCACTGATGGCTGCTCATAGCCTTTTTAATTATTGTGTTTTTAGCCATTTACTCTACTTTTACAGTTTAATTAAATCCATCAGTTATGACTAATTACACTGGAAGTAGATTGAGTGAATAGCCTCACATAATGTTGCTTTAAATGTACCAACAAAACGGATTTCTGACCCTCAAACGTTCATTTTTTTTGTCCTTTTTTAGGCATGATCAACAAATTGTCATTGGACGATAGAAGTGACGATACCAGTTTTGTCAGATTGGTAGCCAAGAGCCTGTTTGCAGACGGAACCACAAACTGGGGCCGTATTGCCAGCCTGGTGGCCTTCGGGGCCGTGGTGTGTCAGTACCTGAAGGAGAAGGGCCGGGGGAACTGTGTGGAGCTGGTGGGGCAAGAGATCTCCACGTACCTGCTGTCTGACCAGAGGGACTGGCTGGTCAAAAACAATGCCTGGGTGAGTCATGACTAATGGCTGAATGATGTAAAGGGGGACAGAGTCACTCCTTGCACAACTGCTCTCATTGTGCAACTGCATGACTAGTGAACGTGTTTTGTCACACTCGGATTCCCGTCTAATATGTCTATATTTAATCCTTTGGTTCCAGGATGGATTTGTCGAGTTCTTTCGAGTAGCAGACCCAGAGTCCACTGTGAGGAACACGCTCATGGCCGTGGCTGGATTTGCTGGTATTGGGGCGACACTGGCCCTGTTGATCAGGTGAATCTTTGGACACTCAGAGACTTACTTTCACATGGTGGATGCCTTCTTTTGATCACCTTTCCTCCGCTTTGAAATTGGACTTTGATGGACACAAACTGCTGATGAGCAGTTCCTGTCGTCTTGTCTCTGGCTCCCTGCCACCCCCAGCCGAAAAAAAATAAGTTCATACTTTTGGCTGTTAACAGAAAAATGGACGGACTTTTGCCCACAACAGCCAACTTTCAAAACAATTAGGGATTATTTAAATTGCAGAGAAATTTATTTTTTCTAATATGTGTAAAAATGTGTATATGCAAATTAAAAACCAACAGTAAGGGGCAGTCAGTTGACCTGATTTTTGCTTAATTGTCACCTCCATTATGTTTACCAGTTTGTTCATGATTATATCATAGCTCCCCGGTTGTGATGGTGTTTTGTAAGTAAGCCCAAGGCCAAAGCAGGAAGGGAAAGCTGCATTTGTCCATGTAATGAAGGCCATTTCCATAGAGCCCATTCATTACCCCTGGATCCTTTGTAAGGGCACCTCAGGGATTTGCATTTGGGTGTAGCTCTACTTCCTTGTTATGAAAATGTTTGGAGACGAGAAGCAACCACATGCAGGACTCTTTGGCTGAGCAGCAGCCTGGAAAGTGTGAGTCTGTTGGAAGAAAATGAACACGGACTGCGAGTCGGGGAAGACACAGATTGTGCTCATCAAGTGCACGAAGCTGACCATAGTTTGGGAGGAAAGCAGTCAATGATTATTAGCACAGATCTGGTTGTAAGCTAACACATCTGTATAGGTTGAGAAAATAAACTTTACATGACTTGACCTTTGAAAACTGTCTTACTGTGAAGACGGGATACATCTACACTCACACCGGGTTTATTGTGCTGAAATACAGTGCTGAAATACAGCTCTCACTCTAACGCCTCAGCACATGAGAGCCTTTTGATGTTTAGTCACACCACGACCAGAGTCAGAGCGATAGCTGTCGTTTCCTAGAAATTCGATGAGGCGGATGCAGCCTGAGCAGAGTTGCAATGGTGGTGTGTTATCTGCAAAGAGCTGGTGTGCGACAGCTGAATGCACCAGCTAGACTGTGAAACTGGGGTAAAAAACAGTTCACAACATCCTGAAAGTTGCATAACACTGTCTACTTCCTGGGTTGGAAAGCTCTAAACCTCCCTAGAAACTGATGACTTAAGCATATATGTATTTGGTTAGGATATATCATCGTTAAACAAATATGTGTTTGTTTGGGTTTGGTTTAGTGCCCCTGATGCAAAATAACAGCCATTTCCTCTTTGATCCTCTTGCAGCTCTGATGTGGCTGTAGACTATAGTTCCTTTCTGCTCTGGTGTACTGACGCTTGTAACATTTAAACTAGGAATAAATAATGTTTTTGCACTTATTCTCGTCTAAATGTCATCTTGAAACCTAAGTGCAGATGGTCGAACCTGAAGCGGGGGGGATCCTTGGTGATAAAGTGAGGCTGCGCCCTTGTTTGTTCAGATCCTCCCGTTGTGTCAGGTTACAGGACAAACACGGCGCTCATCGAGGTCTTATGTGGAAGTGGAGTAGAGCCTCTCCATGGTGACGATCCACGGCGGACCTCCCCGTGTCCTCTCCTGCGGCTAATGTTAGCCCGCCGCCGTGGTTACCCCTCTGCACGGTTCATTGTGAAGAACGGGCTGCTCCGCAGTGGGGGAATTGAGGCTGAGGCAATAGCACAGAGCGGGTTGCACCATACACCAGTGGATTGGGGGGTGCAGAAAAACGAAGCAGTGTCTTGGGGCTGAATATGCAAAGCGCACAGTCTTTGAACGGCCCGTGTGTGTGTGTGTGTGTGTGTGTGTGTGTGTGCGTGCATTATCCTCTCCTTTACTTAGAAAGATAAAGCCTTAATGTTGCTTAATATCTGGATAGAGAGCATGCCTTTAAAAATAGCATCCAAATTGTTATAAATTTGCAAACCACTTAAACGGTCTTCATTTTTAGGCCTCAGTATTCTAGTCATACTGAAAATGAAACTGTTGTGGTTCACAGTAGATGTTTAGGCGTTCTCAACTATGGTGAGATGCCAAGTTATCTTTCACAGCACAAAAAAAACCCAACAACAATGATGAAGTTGTTGGCAACATTGTTCCTTTGAGAAAACTACAGAGCTCCTCTAGAATGTTGGTATTATTTGGCTGTGTTTCAGCGCTGTAGAGGAAGGCTGGTAGAAAGGTGAACACATTCCTGTCATGGGATAGTTTAAGGAGTGGTTTTGAAGCTATTGTTTACACATACCTAACATTTGAGTACTGTAGGGGGTATTGATTGTATTCATATCGCAGCTGCCCAACCCAGAGGATACCAAGTACTAGTCTGCACTAAACCTGCTCTGCTCACATGACCTTTTTAAAGTTTCTGTGCATTAACTTGAATTCCGTTTTTGATTTTTAAAGGAACTTAGTGGTTCCTTGCAGACATGTTTGGGGGATGTGGGCTTTCTGGTGGCTCCAACAGGGAAGTCTGTTTTATCGACACTTTTGTGAAACTGTGAAACTTAAAGTTAGTTTCACAGTGATATAAAGCCCATTTCATCAGGCCTCATTTCTCCGTTTTCTTCCTTTCCACATAAACCAGTCCGCGGCAGTTTGTAACTTGAGCTTTGAGGAACAGCCAACGGTAGAATTGGTTGAAGGCCTCTCCACTTCCCCGTAGCAACAGCCCGCCCCATTTTTAAAAAAAGCAACTTGTTTCTGGGAAGTCAGCTGACTCACAAGTTTATCTTTAACAGGAGCACTCAGCTGCAGAGTTACTGGTTAGAAGCTGCGAATACTCTGAATTCTGGTCCCGAGATGCAGAGATAGGTTAGCCGAATATGCTGCGGTTTGAAGTGAAGCGGCGTAAAAAGGAAACAAGTTTGTTAAATTAGAAACTTCAGTAAGTGCTTACAGGCCATGTCAACAAAATACAAGTACACAGACTGAACAAGTCCTGCAACATCCAGATGTTACTAGAGCTGCTTCTCTGAAAGAGAGCTAAACTTGTAAAGGTCTGAAATGAGCTTTATTCACTGCAAGACACTATTTATGTCTGCAGCCCGGCTGTTTTATCCGCCACTGTTAAAATCTATACACTAATGAAGGAAAGACTTCAGACCTGATGTCGTTAAATGTGCAATATATATTTCACAAAACTCATGACATGAACGGTTGATTCCAGTGTTTAAAAATACATTGTCGCTTCAGGGGCAGTATTATTGTTTGGGGTTGGGAGGCTTCTGTACACCATATCTTACTGTACTTTGTAATTATCAACATTAGTAGTTATTTGCATTAAAAACATACTTCAAATCATTAGGAAATATTCATATATTTTTATTTTAAAGGCAGGGTTGGTAATCTTCTCCAAAAACATTTCAAATGCTCAGACTAAAAAATAAAAACACATTTTTACTGATTAGAGCTTAAACGCATCATAATAACATTCAATGCAACCTCCGTTAACGTTAGCTGTTAGCCAAGCAGAACTGTGACGCCCACCGCCAGCTAACCGCTAACGTTAGCTAGCGCAGATGTCTTCACCATGTAGTAGTATTATTGGGGAGGGGGGTTAAGGTGCGTCCCCTCAGGTGTATTAGCACCACGGTCTGCTGTCCCAAACCTACTGAAACATGACACAGTATGTGAATGGCGTTATGTCATTGTGAATGCTTAACTGTCAGAAAGCGTCAATAAGGGGAATGAATAGTCGCCGAGGCATGCGGTTACAAGACAGAGCAAATGTTTGAGGGTGTTAATCTCACACCCTGCTTGTCGTCTTTAACGACATCTTACCCTCCGGGCTTTGCTGCGCTGTTTTAATCTACAATTCATGTGCAGAGCACCCCGAGGGTGTCCGCTCAACTCTCTCCTCTGTCAGGTGACTGAGCGTAACATGTCAAGTGAATGTTCTCAGGGATTTGCATAATATGTAGCTCCTGTTATGGTGCTTCTGCACTACACTTCCCAGAGTACACTGGGTGTAGTCCACACTTCTTCCCTTGACTTTTGTCCTGAAGTTCGAGTAGGAAGTTTGCGTACTTTTTTCGCCAACTCATTTCTTATAAAACTATTTTTATTCTGCAATTACGGGCGTTAAAAACCGCCACTTCCTCTCTGCGAGAAGCTTTTTCCCTGGAAACGCGGGCATCGCATCCATCAGACTTTATGCAAAAAGCCTAATTTTTGCATATGTCATCTCTCTAAAACAAACCCTGCACTCACGTAGTTCCCTGTTATATCAGCTATTTTTGAATTACACACAAGCCCTCTACTCATTCCTGCAATTCTCTATAAATGGACGTCGGCGTTCTGTTTAATCCGGTTTGATGTAAAGCAGACAGTCTTCGTTGGTCCTGGTAATGTCCATTAGCCCAAAGGTGTTCATACAAATGTCTGCCATTGCTTTGCATGAATGAGCTGGTGAATGTTGAACAGTATGGAGTTATGGGATGCGGAAGTAGAGGACTAGCTTTAAATAGTGAGATATCACAGGTCAAAGGGCTCTCATTCATCAGCGCCGCATGTCTGAACTCTGAACTTGTGGTGTGTGGATACTTATCACATATCCAATTTAATCCTACTGGGTGATGTCGTGTTCTCGTCTGAGCTGAGTCATCCCGTCTTTTGAAACTTTATTCTTTGACTGTTGACCACAATGCAGTATTAATAGACGGCTTATCCGCGTTGGCAGCTCTGACCTGCAGGCTGCCCATCGTCTTTGTCGCTGCAGGAGGAAAATAACCATCCATGAAGGATTACAGAGTGCTGTGAGCCTGATCTAGTAGATCAAGTGCAACAACAGCCAGCATAGGCCGACACACTCCTCACCAACCTGTTAGCGGTATTTACCTTAAAGCTTGTGTAAAAACATCAAAAATCTAGCAAGCAGAGAAGCTTGTGATTCTTAGCTAAAAATACGGTGGCGTTGAGGAGCTGAAATTTAGAAAACGTGTGCAGACGGCCAAAACACGAGTAAACACGCTAGATGTAGCACAGACGACTAAGAAGAGACACGCATTGCTGTGACTTGTTTTTGTCATGTTTGTGGATTATGAAGTTATTGAAGTTGGCTATCCATTAACAATGTTGGAAAATTCGCTAAGTATTTTTGATTAATTTTACCATTGTGCTCACATGATTCAGATATGATTGCAATCATCTGTAATGTAAGAACGGGCAGCAGAAGATTATATTATATGCTAACCTCGGTCCCTGGCGTTACTTCATTGTTGGCTCATGACAAGTTATTTACTGTCAGGAACTTTTAACCGCTTCTGAAACCGTCTCAATTTAATGCTCATGCCTCCATATGACCAATGAGTAAACATGAACATCAGCGAGAGGATTGGCTGTTGAATAAAATGAGAGGTTTTATAAAGGGACTCTGGTGGTCCGAAACACTACCGCTTCTGTCCACAGGGACCGCCAAAATCAACACAAAATGAAAGTTCCTCCTTGAAGCAAAGTGATTGATTTCATTTTATCAGTCATGTCAGTAAAACTCGTACCAACAGTTTAACTTGCTTGTCCCCTATTGCAGGGTTTGACAGTTACTGTTGGCATTATTGCCAGCTAACATGACGTTCGCCTGTTGCATAAGTAATTGTGCATTTTGTTCCTTTTTGTTTTTTAATTGGCAACTTAATAATAAGCAAAAGGCTAACGCTAGTTAAACAGCAGATATCTACAATAACATCTGAATCAAAGGGTCACTTTGTTAAAATAAACCAAAAGAAGACTTTAATTTGAGCTCAACACCACTGACGGATAGCTGACATCAATAACTGGACCCGGCCGTGTGCATCACTTTCCTCTCAAACTGTTTCGTCTGCTACTCGCAGAGCTTTTCTGTGTTTCATTGTGTTTTCTCTATTTGCTTTCTTTCTAAATGCTGAGCATGTTTGTCAAATTGCTGAAAATGTTTTCTGAATTAGCTTTAACTTAAAGCATTAGTTTCTTTTTGTCTCCATTACTTGTGATGTGAGTTTTCATGAGCGCGTTGCCGATTCCCTCCAGTCTGTTCTGTTCTGAGACGGCAGCTCTGTCGTCGCAGTCTGCTCTCTGTGCGAGAACACGGTGTACTCGAAGCGGGTTGCTGACCCTGCATCAGGTCACTGGAGGCTTTGTTTCACAGAGGGAACAGTTTGTAACAAAGCTGGTGTTCTGTCTGGAAGGGGAGAGATGTTCCCAGCAAAATGCACAGCTTATTATAGACGGGAAGGAAGTAGGACATTTGTTGAAATAATAAAGCCTTGGGAGTGTACACTGGCACACATTCAGCTATCTTCACCCCATGATCAAGACTAAACATGCCAGTGGTTTCCCTCTTCATTCTTCCTCCTTCTTAATCCAGTTTAAAATACGATAAATTGACTGT